TGCAATGACTGAAACGTAGTAGTTATTTGAAATGCAAATATTACTTGATTAGTAAGAACGGAACAAAATACGCGGAGAATTTATACGGCTGTTGTGAACGAGAACAAGGAACAAGATAGTTTTTACTGCAACAGGAGAAAATATTGAATGTTTGTATTTACTAATTTGTACTAACTAATAAAAGAACAAAATCTTAAAATAATTAAACATCTGCAGATTTTAACTATAGCCATCACACGTCATAGAGACCATCGCACATCAGCGAAAGGACCATCGCACTTTGGCGAAGACCATCGCACTTCAGCGTGACCATCGCACTTCAGCGTCCCCATCGCATCTCCGAGTCCTACATATGTATACATAGATCTATGATATTGTTAATTTTAGTGAAGATATATGACTATTTTTTAAAAATGGTAAAATAACTACTAGGGAATTGATGGTATACTTTATTAACCACAATCAAAGAACACCTGTCAGATTCAACCGTCATTAACTAGAAATCCTATCACTGAGGATACAAAACCAATTGGTGACGATTATTGCGATCGGGTGCACGCCTTTTGTATTTAGAAAATACAGTGATTTAATCGTTTTTATTCAGCAATCCACCTTTCTTCTTTACAAATACAGGTGTACAGAACAAAGAAGTATACAGTCTGCTGAATTGCATCCTGCTTCTATTGCGAGCGAACGGTTAAAATCGAATTAATGTTTACGTCACAGTTCAATTTAGGATCCACATCGCAGTCGACGTTCAAGTCATATCAAATTCATTTAAAAACAATTTCAACGATTGGGACGTAAAAACGCGTAAATGTTAACATAATCCTCAATTTGTTGAAGGTAGGCACTACAATGTAGAAGTAGAAGCGTAAATGTTAAATTCTAGGATAATATTCGTGCATTGTAGGAAAATATGAAATTTATTTTGCCTCGCTACGAAACAGGAGAAAAGCTCGACGAGCCTCGCTATGTTTCTAAAGCTCGTACCAATAAATTTTATATTTTTCTAAATGAATATGGATACTGTTTATTTATGCAACGGTTTCTGTTTATATAGGGCAGTCGTTGATAGTTCCGAGCAATCATTAAAAAAATCAGTTTTATGCCACGGTAAGAAAAACATTTTTGGCAGAAAATTTTTATACACTAATTAGGATACTGTTACAACTTGTATAGGTTTTGTTTCTTATCAATGTTGTAATATGAAACCGAAAATGTCCATGGACTTTGTCTAGGAATTATGCAAGTTTTTGATTACGGGCAGTCAAGGTCAGCATGGTCATGGCATGATCAAGGTCAATATTAATTATCATTGGCTATAAATATTTTAATTGACCAATGAGGATAAAGTGCATTCTAACTCTTCACAAGCGTCAAGTTGCGCCCGCATTCTCGCAATTGCGCTGACTTTTTGTTTTGCCAGAAAAAAAAAGGATTTTCAATTTTGTCATGACATTTATCACAAATCTTGAGAGATATTCTGCAAATGAACTCGAATCTTTGGTACATTTTCCATGTCATTTCTTTGATCAAGAAGAAAATTTTAGCTGACAAAATCTTTTTTATGGTTAAATAAGACTGTAGTCAAGCATTTGCGACATATGTGAATAAAACAATGCCTTTCTAAACGAAAAATATAGCGCTCATAACATTTAAGTCCTTACGTAGTTCGTGTAAACAGATAAGAATATCATCTAAAACTCGATGATTGACGACATAATTTCCGTTTCCATCATGTTTTGTTGATCATGAGATTACTCGTGTAATAAAGTCGACTTTTTATTATATCACTGTCTTTTAACAAAACAATAATATGCAGATAGAGAGATAGATGTAGGCGTTTTAATTTTTAATCTAAAACATTCGTCATTTAAATATAAGTAGATTCAAATGGATAACTTTTAAACAAATCGGCTAATGATATTTGCGCCGAAAATACATCTTATCGTCTCGTGGTAGCGTTCTCGTGCTCGCCTAGAGTGTGGTAAGTCGTGGGTTTGATATCGGCAGGGTCAAACCAAAGTCTTCAAAATTGGTATTAGCTGCTTCTCTAGTAAGCCGGCGGCATAACGGAGTAAGAGCAAAGATTGGTCGGCTGGTAGCCAGATTGATGTGTGCGGGAAGGACTACACGATTTCCCTGTGGACTGTTGCCATGTGAATTAGTAAACGCATTAACATGTTCTCGTCCTGAATATGCATTTAATTTTACACTGGACGTTAAACAGCCATCAATCATCATCGCCATCATCGAGAATACACATTTAACAGACTGCTAAGTATTCACATGAAAGTATTAACATCGTACTCATTGTAAAATATTACGTAATGGCACGCGTTTTTTATATTATAATTTTGTATGCACTATGCATTGAATGTGTCAGTATAATTGTCGTTTATCGCATTTATTCCGGCGTTATCTGAAAAAAATCAACTTAGACCGTTTCAAGACATAAATAATCCTCGCAGTATAGAACAAATTGATGAAAGGATTGCGGTTGTCAGTTTTTACTATCCAAAAGGTTTCACTGATTTAACTGCGGATTTACAAGTACGACTCATCAAATAGAGATGAGATGCAATTTAGCATTGTAGCTCGATGAATATCTACATTTCTTACAACGATAGTTACTCGTGATTTACAACTTTATAGCTTTCATCAGATCACTTTAAAACCATAATTCTGTGAAGTTTTATGAATCCTTGATGCAAAAAGAAATAGGGAAAGGGCAAATAAAAAACAAAACTTGAGAATATTATAAGGGATTCAAGGCAGTGTCGGATAAAGAGGGAAAAGTAGGAGTTCTGATTCTTACTTTTACCTCGGATTTGTTAGGTTTTTTTAAGCCATATATTTTTGGAATTTTTATTATCCAAATTTTATACCTCAACAATTATTTGGTTTGGATTATCTATGTTGATTTTTTTCGTTTCCATTTTGACTGTGTTCCCATTGCTGTAATGACAACTTTAAAGCCAATTCTACTTGAGTGGTAGCTAAAACTAATTCGGGTTATATCGGGATTACTCTGGGGTTTTTTTAGGTATGCTGTGTTTCTTGATCGTATTTTGTTTATTATATTCATGAATATGTTTTTCACTATATATATCATTCAGAAATCGAATCTAACAATCGGTGATCAAGAGGTTGAAATTTCGGTAACTAGATCAGTGACAATACATTACCAAGTCATTAATTTGTACCACTTTTTCGTTCATTAATGATACATTTGTTTAAAATTTATTGTTAAACAGTGTTTCTATTTTAATTTGTTATAGATCTCGCTGAAATCTTTAGTGTTTCTATTTTTCTAATTTTATATGTCACGCAGTATGCTTAAACTGTTAAAGTGTTACTATTTTTTTTGGTTATATATCTGGCAGTAGTTGTTTAAACTTTACCGATAAACAGTGTGTCTATGTTTCTTAGATATATATGTCTCTCAGTACTTGCTTAAACTTTACTGTAAAACTGTGTTTCTATTTTTGTTAGTATTTGTCTCTCAGTACTTGCTTAAACTTTACAGTAAAGCTGTGTTTCTATTTTTGTTAGTATTTGTCTCTCAGTACTTGCTTAAACTTTACTGTAAAGCTGTGTTTCTATTTTTGTTAGTATTTGTCTCTCAGTACTTGCTTAAACTTTACTGTAAAGCTGTGTTTCTATTTTTGTTAGTATTTGTCTCTCAGTACTTGCTTAAACTTTACTGTAAAGCTGTGTTTCTATTATTCTTAGTATATATCTCGAAGTACCTGTTAAAACCAAACTGATAAGCTGTGTTTCTATTTTTCTTAGTATATGTCTCGCAGTACAGGTTCAAACTTTACTGAAAGCAGTGTTTACATGTTTCTTAGTATATGTCTCACAGTACTTGTTTAAACTTAACTGATAAGCAGTGTTTCTATTTTTCTTAGTATTATGTCTCGCAGTACTTGTTTAAACTTTACTGATAAGCAGTGTTTCTATTTTTCTTGGTATATGTCTCGCAGTACTTGTTTAAACTTTACTGATAAGCAGTGTTTCTATTTTTCTTAGTATTATGTCTCGCAGTACTTATTTAAACTTAACTGATAAGCTGTGTTTCTATTTTTCTTAGAATATGTCTCGCAGTACCTGTTCAATCTTTATTGAAAGCAGTGTTTCCATGTTTCTTAGAATTTGTCCCGCAGTACTTGTTTAAACTTTACTGTAAAGCTGTGTTTCTATTTTTTTTAGTATATATCTCACAGTACTTGTTTAAACTTTACTGATAAGCTGTGTTTCTATTTTTCTTAGTATTATGTCTCGCAGTACCTGTTCAAACTTTACTGTTAAGCAGGGTTTCTATTTTCTTAGTATATATCCCGCAGTACTTGTTTGAATTTTACTGTTAAGCAGGGTTTCTATTTTTGTTTCTTGTATATGTCTCGCAGTACTAGTTTAAACTTTACTGATAAGCAGTTTTTCCATGTTTCCTGGTATATGTCTCGCAGTACTTGTTTAAACTTTACTGATAAGCAGTTTTTCCATGTTTCTCGGTATATGTCTCGCAGTACTTGTTTAAACTTTACTGATAAGCAATGTTTCTATGTTTTCTTGGTATATGTCTCGCAGTACTTGTTTAAACTTTACTGATAAGCAGTGTTTCTATTTTTCTTAGTATTATGTCTCGCAGTACTTGTTTAAACTTTACTGATAAGCTGTGTTTCTATTTTTCTTAGTATATGTCTCGCAGTACCTGTTCAAACTTTATTGAAAGCAGTGTTTCCATGTTTCTTAGTATATGTCTCGCAGTACTTGTTTAAACTTTACTGATAAGCAGTGTTTCCATATTTCTTGGTATATGTCTCGCAGTACTTGTTTAAACTTTACTGATAAGCAGGGTTTCTATTTTTCTTGGTATATGTCTCGCAGTATTTGTTTAAACTTTACTGTTAAGCAGTGTTTCAATTTTTCTTTGTTATATGTCTGGCAGAAACTTTACTGATAATCAGTGTTTCTATTTTTCTTTGTTATAGGTATGGCAGAAACGTTATTGTGTGTCAGATGTTCCAGTGAAAGTGATTCTGAATGTGAAGATGATCCGAAATCACCATCGCCTTGTCCTGAATCACAACAACGCTCTGCTTGTCAAACCGTCAGAGAAAAGAATGTAAAAGGTAAGAAACCTGGGTTTTTGTATTTGAAGCCTTGTATTATCTATTGTAAAACAGCTTCAGATTATCTCATCATTGGCTGGTACAAATCACGTTAACATTCGTTCGTTACGCCTAAATACTGGAATTTATTTACAATCAACATTAGTAATCACGGTGTTACTAAAGGTTTCTCAACACCAATGGGTGGAGATAATTCGAAATATGATCTAGAATCAATCCTACTAGTTTGTTATGCACTTTATTCCTATACATTTTTTCATACTTGTTGTCCTCAAACTGTTTTTAAAATCGAGGTTATTATTTGTATATATATATATATAAATATAAACAAGTCTAAATTGAAAACAACGTTCAAACCTATGATTGCGTTGGATAAAAACCGCAATTTGTATACGTGTGCATGTAAAACAAGTTTCTTGGTAGAGGGGTCTAAATACAGCACAAACAACTTTTTCCAAAAGACCAAAAAGTGAAAAGTATATTTTAACAAAACGCATTTGACTAACAGGTCGAACAACTGATGTTCTTAAACCCTGCTGACTGCCATTGGCGATTGCCAAATAAATTGATCACCAGATGTAACATAGATCTTTTAAAATTATTAATTTAATACCAAACAGAAAACAATGAACTTGCGGAAAAGATGGTATATCGCAATCATGAGGTGCAAAAATTTGTACACCATATCCGGTTTTCGACAATTAATGTCTCTTCGGTGATGTTAGGGATCGAAACGGTATTTGGAAGGCCATATAATTTACCTCAATTAAGGATAAAATCTTGAATTTTAAAGAGTCAAAATAGGATGAACGGATCATATAAACCCGAAGGAAAATATAATACAAGCCCAAACGAAAAAATATAAACAAGTCTAAATTGAAAACAACGTTCAAACCTATGATTGCGTTGGATAAAAACCGCAATTTTTATACGTGTGCATGTAAAACAAATTTCTTGGTAGAGGGGTCTAAATACAGCACAAACAACATTTTCCAAAAGACCAAAAAGTAAAAAGTATATTTTAAGAAAACGCATTTGACTAACAGGTTGAACAACTGATGTTCTTAAACCCTGCTGACTGCCATTGGCGATTGCCAAATAAATTGATCACCAGACGTAACATAGATCTTAATTATTAATTTAAAACCAAACAGAAAACAATAAACTTGCGGAAAAGATGGTATATCGCAAACATGAGGTGCAAAAATTTGTACACCATATCCGGATTTCGACAATTAATGTCTCTTCAGTGATGTTAGGGATCGAAACGGTATTTGGAAGGCCCTATAATTTACCTCAATTTAGGATAGACTCTTGAATTCTAAAGAGTCGAAATAGGAAGAACGGATCATATAAACCCGAAGGAAAATATAATACAAGCCCAAACGAAAAAAAATAAACAAGTCTAAATTGAAAACAACGTTCAAACCTATGATTGCGTTGGATAAAAACCGCAATTTTTATACGTGTGCATGTAAAACAAATTTCTTGGTAGAGGGGTCTAAATACAGCACAAACAACTTTTTCCAAAAGACCAAAAAGTGAAAAGTATATTTTAACAAAACGCTTTTGACTAACAGGTCGAACAACTGATGTTCTTAAACCCTGCTGACTGCCATTGGCGATTGCCAAATAAATTGATCACCAGATGTAACATAGATCTTAATTATTAATTTAATACCAAACAGAAAACAATAAACTTGCGGAAAAGATGGTATATCGCAAACATGAGGTGCAAAAATTTGTACATCATATCCGGATTTCGACAATTAATGTCTCTTCAGTGATGTTAGGGATCGAAACGGTATTTGGAAGACCATATAATTTACCTCAATTTAGGATAGACTCTTGAATTCTAAAGAGTCGAAATATGATGAACGGATCATATAAACCCGAAGGAAAATATAATACAAGCCCAAACGAAAAAATATAAACAAGTCTAAATTGAAAACAACGTTCAAACCTATGATTGCGTTGGATAAAAACCGCAATTTTTATACGTGTGCATGTAAAACAAATTTCTTGGTAGAGGGGTCTAAATACAGCACAAACAACTTTTTCCAAAAGACCAAAAAGTGAAAAGTATATTTTAACAAAACGCTTTTGACTAACAGGTCGAACAACTGATGTTCTTAAACCCTGCTGACTGCCATTGGCGATTGCCAAATAAATTGATCACCAGATGTAACATAGATCTTAATTATTAATTTATTACCAAACAGAAAACAATAAACTTGCGGAAAAGATGGTATATCGCAAACATGAGGTGCAAAAATTTGTACACCATATCTAGATTTCGACAATTAATGTCTCTTCAGTGATGTTAGGGATCGAAACGGTATTTGGAAGGCCATATAATTTACCTTAATTTACCTCAATATATATAAATATCTATAAAGAAGTCACTCCTAACTATCTTACTACCTGTCGATACATTTATTTTTGGCATTGCACAAGTCATGTCTTCTTTGACTGTTCATGACGTTAAAATACTAAATCCCTGGGATGTATTTTAGTTGATTTTAGTCTCTGATGCATGATTTTTTATTATTAATTGTTTTGGCTTTTAACTAGCTGTCAGTAACTGCGAGTACTCTCAAATCGTACTTTCTTTTTAATTTGACCTGTTGATACTATTAGTAATGCTTTTTTGTTAATTAATGTTAACATGGATCTTCTCTATATACCAGCTTTGATTATTTGGTATTTAATTACTACAAATTTTCACTTCTTCGTACTATGAACATCAAAATTATTTCATTTTTCCTTAAATGCTGTTCTTGGACCTGTACAGGAAGTTTTATCTAGCACTAATTGTATATTTTTATTGTTGATATTCACCCTATATGTACCAAGTGTTAGATTAGTTTTATTGATATTAAAGAAATTTCTTGGTATTCCTAAACGGAAGATTTTATACACACAGAAGAAGAAGTATACTTAACAACAAAATTATTTTCATTTACCTGTGTATAATATGACGCAGGTTTCTTAAAAAGTGATGATTTTCTATAAATTGTTTGAAATTTCACAGTGATATCATACTTTAACTTTGTTTAAACCTGTTTATTTACTTTTGACTTTAATTACTTATCCCTTGTAATTTTTTATTAACTGTGTATTTGCATTCAGGTGTCACAGGTCAAATTTATTCGTTCATTGTGTGTTAATTTACGTTTTTTGATTGAGTTAAGCCTTCCAATTGATATTTTATAGTGTGTTTTTCTATGTTGTGATGTTATACTATTGTTTCAGAAAAGTGAGAAGGTTTGGTACCATTAAAACGTTTAATCCCCCTGCAAATGTTTGCACCTGTCCTAAGTCAGGAATCTGATTACAGTAGTTGTCGTCTGTTTATGTAGTTCATACGTGTTTCTCGTTTCTCGTTTTTATATAGATTAGACCGTTGGTTTTTCCGTTTGAATGGTTTTACACTAGTAATTTTTTGGGGCCCTTTATAGCTTGCTGTTCGGTGTGAGCCAATGCTCCGTGTTGAAGGCCGTACCTTGACCTATAATGGTTTACTTTTATAAATTGTAACTTGGATGGAGAGTTGTCTCATTGGCACTCATACCACATCTTCCTATATCTATATATTGTTTTCAATTTAGACTTGTTTGTAAATATATATATATATATACATTATTAGCGAACTGTAAATGTAATTGGAAAAAAAATCATATACGGTAATATGAAAAGATTGATTTAACTGAAGATATTAAAAACTAGCTATCTACCTATTCAATAAACAGTTCATCAATGTGACAGCTTTAAGTAGTTGGTATTGCATTCGATCGCACAACCGATGCAGCACCCTATACTTTTATAAATATTTTCTTTTTATATACATAATATTTGTTTACTCTTTTGTTTCAGGTGAAACTGTAAAATTTATTCGAGGTTGTTCAACTGTTTCACTGAAGAATAATATGGAAGCTAAAGCTTGTCGTGAACGAAATAATAACCTTACGGTGTGTTATGATCTTTGCTTCACAGATGGTTGTAACTTAGCAACACAATTTGGTCTCAGTCCATCTTTGTGGATATTCCTTATATTACTACTGTTTGCTTTATCATGAAAGGGACTTGGTATATATAAATCAAAATATAACTATGTATATAAATCAAAATAAGTGCAATAGGATCAAATGTAGTACGAACATGTGAATATTATATTGTTTTGGTTGTTTGTATATTTCATATAGACATTAGTATATTACTTAGCGATGTATATTAGACAGTAATCTGACGCAAACCTTATTTATTATATAACTCACATATACATGTATAGTTCTTTGGTATTAATACTAAAAAAAAATTTTTTTATATTTTAAGTAACTGTATTATGAAGAAAATAGTGTTTATGAAGATATTTCAAAATGTAATTCATTGACATTGTTATGGTTTCTTTGTCAATATTACTGAAACGATATCGAATACATAGTACACAATGTATGTCATATTTTCTTGCTTTTAGTAAATTTTACATTACAAGCTGCCTTATGAGCTAATATAAATACCAAAAGTCAACAGACAAAATTTCTATAGGATAGTCATAAATAGTTACAAATATATATAAAATATTATTAGTTACATGGTGTGTTAGTGACCTAATACGATATATATGGGGTCAGTAAATTCCATATGGGGTGATAGCGCAGTATGGGGTCAGTAAATTCCATATGGGGTGAGCGCGAAGCTCGAATCCCCATATGGAATTTACTGACCCCATATATATCGTATTAGGTCACTAGCACACCGTGTAACGAATTTATCTTACCGACTATCTTCACATGTGGTATTTAGACTAGCGGCCTATCAAAGTGATTAAGTCTTCAATACTTAGTATCAAGAACCTACTTCCATTTGTCTATACAAAATACAAATGCCAACAATAACAACTTGTTAGCTTTAAATTTGTTTTATGAATTTATTTCAATCGTTCATCATCAATTTCTTCGTCTGTTGAAACCTTTCAGATTTCTTTTTTTGTTTTGAAAGGGAAGTAACTCCTTACTAACCCTATATGGTTACTAACCCCATATTTTTTAGGACACCCTATATCAAATATATATAGTCACTACGTGTAGTCCTTTAACCAATCATATCCCCATAAATCTATAGGAGGTAAGATAAATATATATATAACAGCAAGAAAACTAAATGTGTTGCGGGAATACGAAAATGACATCCGCAAATGACGGAAGGACTACGTAATTCTGTGAAAAGTAAGAATTAAAAACGAAAGTTAAGTAGATATGTAAATCACCCTTATACACCAAGTAACAAAGATATAAGCTAAATAAGTAAAAGCATAATGATAAAAAAAAAGTACAGACAAATACCATTTTCATGATTTTTTAAGCCAAACGGCCGTTATCCCGTAAACAGTATATCATCCAAAATCGTAAACTATAACACGATTAGTAACTCACTATAATATACCAATGAACCAAGATTACTTCAATATGTACAGGCCATGTCGAAAATAAAGTCCGGCCATCATTTGGATTTCGGGAGGCGGAATGACGGATAGGGCGGGGTCATAAAAATCCCTGAATCCACATCTAAATAAAAATATTTGCATTATCTTTTCAAATGGTGATGGCAAACGCGTCAACATGGTAGACTTGTACTTCTTAATTCATGGTAGACTAGTACTTCTTAATTCATGGTAGACCTGAAAGTTAAGGTTACATCTGGGAAAAGTAAAATCTTTCATTCGAAATATACTAATTTGTGACAAAATCATCTTGGTGAGATTGGTAAGTAATTTTTTATATCAAAGTAAACATAGATGTTCGGCTGAACTTGGTTATATCTTTTGATGATATCAATGTATAGGTTCATATTTCAAAATAAGAAGCATGTATATCATTGAATCCGTATTTTTAATCATTAGTAAATAATCCTTGCCATCGAGTGTATCTTTCACTGATTTATTAATATTTATAGCTGTAATCACTGTGCATCATCACCACCGGAAATTGGGTACCAACGATCGAAATGGTGAGTATTGACGAAAACAAAAAAGGAGGTAAAATTTTCTGAAATTTAAACATATTTCTACAGATATGATGATGAGGTTTAGCGTTTATTGAATGTTTCTTATGTATGCTGGTTCAATTTTAATGCCAACAAGACAAGATATTGTTTTATACTCAAAAATTGTGCACCTAGTGCAAGAAAACTTCTATGTCGATCTTCTTTCTATAGTATATCGTTCATGCTGTACTCTTTTATCACAAGTAATATTCTTCCTCGTTAGAATTATGTCTCCATTAACCAAAAAAAGGTAGCTACCAATTACTACTTTAATTGGTGAAATAAGTTGTCGTTGGTTCATGTCTGTCATATTTGTTTTTCGTAAATTTTTTTGTTATGAATTAGGCCGTTAGTTTTCTAAATTGAATTGTTTCATATTTTTCATATCGGAGCCTTTTATAGCCAACTATACGGTATGGTTTTTTTTCTCATTGTTGAAGGCCGTAAGGTTGCCTATAATTGCTTACATCCACTTCATTTGAACTTTGGTGGATAGTTGTCTCAATGATAATCATACCATATCTCCTTATTTTTATATTAAGTCTAACTTTACTTGTAAATTAATTTCATTATGTTTGACACAATATCAAAGTAAAATTTAGGCATATTAATCATCTTATTCATGAACATGTACTTCAAAATGAGAGGTCGGCCACGCCGTTCACCACTGATTTACATTTTCCGATCTTGAAAATCCAAGTGTTAAATAGAATTTCATCTTATTCGGTTATCTTTGACTATTTGCTTTCGGAAATAGTATAGTTTATCCTCTCTCGAATTATTTCATAGAATTATTTGAGTGTTTTATTGAACTTTCGAAAATTTCCTGACAACCAATCAGACAATAGTTGTAAGTAGTTTAACGACATCAAAATATATGTTATTTAATTAGGTAGCCGAAACATTTGTCTTTCAAAATAGTGGTCGCAATGATGCAATGTGAATAAAATTAACGGTTTCTAAAGGCTATCGAGACAGTGTGTCGTCTGTATAATGACTACACTTTTCTTGAAAAGAAATCATTTGCATGTGGACTGGTTGCACAATACGGATGATATACTATAGGATCCTGAGAGGCTATCTTTTTTGTAAGATTTACTATGTCGTGTTTTTGTTATATTGAAAATCTGATAAATGGATAGTTACACTGTGACTATATCTTCCTTGATATTATTTACAATAACGATTAATCTCATCTTTACATTGCAGTAAATAGCAAGATGCCATACAGAAATCAGTTGTTATTCTACAATACGTTGTACAGGTCGCTGTTCAATTCGCCCTACAATAAAAAAAATTTGAGATCCCTCTACCATTTCGAAAACATCTTACTGTAAGAGAATTTCATGTTACAAAATTGCTTTGATCAATCTCCTTTCGGTAACATCTTTTTGTACATTTATGAATGTCAGAGAATGTCATATTCTTGAAATCAACCTGCAAATAGAGTGAGAACATTTGAATACCTGGCCTGCGTCGTTATTGAGGACCGCACCAGGTGCATAATTTAAGAGCATAAAACAAAATATTGTCTTTGATTGGTACTTTCTGGCATAAAAAACTAAAATAGCATCTACTGGTATAAGAAACTTATTGGCATAACAAACTAAAACAGCATCTACTAGTATAAGAAACTTATTGGCCTAACAAACTAAAACAGCATCTACTAGTATAAGAAACTTATTGGCACAACAAACTAAAACAGCAACTTCTAGTATAAGAAACTTATTTTATAAGCGTTAATCCTCAACAAATCGGTATAAATGGTTTTAAATGAACGAAAATCTTATCTTCTTTATTGTTATCGTCCTTGCTCTCCACCTAGTTGGGATTCAATTAATGTTGATGATGAAACACAGTGGTAATACTATAATCAATTAGATTAAAGAAAATCGTATTAAAATATTGAAAATTTTAAAACACAAAAACACAAAAAGAGCACATAAAAATGGCAACTAACACTTGTAAGAATATGTAGACCACTAATCATTTTTTGAAATTTTGTCTGTATGCAATATTGTAATGTCATTGTATATTTTTGTGAAAGAAATAAATGTATTAAACCTCATGTTACCTTTTTTTTTTAAATGTTCTAAATTTTGAAATGTTATGGCTGGTGTTATTACAATCAGAATTTTTAACTTGATTAATCTTGATTGCATATATAGTGGTTTGGTTTAGTGTCGTGGTTTCATCGTAATCTATCAAGCTATTGTTGTAAGATAAGGAAAATTAGAAAACAAGGCACCCATAAAAATGCTGGAGGAAAGAGTGCTCCGAAATAACAAAACCATATACATGTACAAACCAGATTGTTAAATATGCGCATGTTTGCCGTGACGTCTCAAATTTCAATTACCGTACGTAATGTTTTCTTTGATACTTAGAATACTTTTACAGCAGGGATCAGATGTCACGTATATATAGATATTTATTCTAAATGCAGAAACTTGATTAAAAATAAACATTTCACGCCAAGCTTTTTACGGTAAAATTATCAATAATCAAACCAAATTTACGAATTGTTTGTAAAGCTTTCGTGTTGGCTTAATAAGCTTCTTGATAAGGGTTAATGTTATTATTTCGTCTGGATTTCTTCTTTTTCTTTTTCTGCATAGGCATTCTTTGTATATTAATTTACTTTAAGCATCGCACAAGATCGTATCTTCCTTTGCTTTCCCTGATAAATTTGCTGTCTATGAAATCTACTCCAAGTACAACCGACTTAGTACAGCATGTTTTAATATCAGCAAGTTTTAAAGTACTGTGAGCTTCCTTGATATGAATAATGTGTGGTATACGTCAACGAGACAGCAATCTAACGACACAAAGAACCAAGCGACGTC